TGTCCAGCTAATTACTCAGAGTGCAGGAAATGCCATAAAAGAGGCCATTATGCTGCAGTTTGTCATTTCAAACAGTCAATGCATGAAGTTTTGGGGGAGGAGGACATTGAGCAGGATGGCCTTTTTTGGGGGTAAAAAGGCACAGCTCTAGGTGGAACACAGACATAGTACTAAATCGGGATGTAATTTTACTCAAAAAAATTGCAGGTGCTGCAGTCACAGTTACTCCCACCATACTATATGAATACAGCACTGATGGGTCTTTGACTGCAACATTTATGGCCCTAGTAACAAACTGTTACCAGTGATGGGACAGAACTTGTGAGCTGAAAAGCAGAAATGGCAGTTGCTCAGTCTATCTTCATTGTGGACTTGTTTGACCCCTCCTAGGTCTACCAGCTATTGAGGCGTTACAAATTGTTATGTGGTTAAATGAGGTCAGGGGCATTGTTGTAACCTGCTCATGGGCCCTGGGGCTACAGGTGGCCATAGGCTATTTACACACTATTTCAGTACATCATTAAATATCCAATGTTTTTATCTATTAAATAAAAAGAGGGGACAGTTCCAATGTCATGTATTTTGATCATGGTAACCGTTGTACTGTTGTACTCTTGTAATAAACTATGGTGAAGGCCTACTGATAAAAATTGTTACTAAGTAACTTTGTAAACCATGTCAGAAAAACATACAGTAGCCCTACCATGGTTAGTGAAGCTATAGTAAACTATGGAACACTCAATACATTTTTTTTATTTTTATTTTTTTTGCTTCCCCCTTGCAAGATTTGTTGTTCTTTGCTTTTTAGAAATAAATTCATAAAAAGGGTCTCAAAAGTCACTAGGTCTAGCAGCTTAGGCTGGGATACGTTTAAAACAAGAGAATCAGTACAGATTGAGAGCCCATATTTATATGCATATTCAATATTTTTGCAGTAAAAAGAGACCATTCAATATTTTTGCAGTAAAAAGAGACCCAAGGCTAAAGCCCAATAGCCAGTCCCTAAACACACCCCTGGGATAGCTCCAGTTCTGGAGAGACAGAGAGGGCTGCCATCAACATATGCCATATATGATTGGCTGAAAAACTGATGCAGTTTCAAAAAAATGATGCACTATTTGTAACTCTGAACGAGAAGTGTTCATTGCACAGACAGAGTCAGAGTAGGCCACAAAGTGCTGCTAGAATAGGACTAGATGCAGAAAAAGTCAGGGCGACTGTGGTAATGCCCATACGCAAAACGTACAATTGTTTGTGGGCATGGCCACATACGTGGGTAGAATTTGCCCCCCTTTCACAGACACTCCAAGATCACTGCATGATCTACTGGCTAAAGAGAGCGAATAGGCATGGCAAAATTTGCAGCAGGCAGAGTTTGGAAAAAATGAAGGCTGACCTGGCATTAGACAGAGGACTAGTACAATATAAGACTAATGCCAAGACAAATGTGTTTGCTGATGCATTTGGATTTTGACTAGGAGCAGTGCTTACTCTAATTCAAGATGACAGTGATCGATGCCCTGAGGCTTTCATGTCCAACAGAACATTGAAATGCACAGGTAGAGAAGGATGTCTTGGCAGTAACATGGGCCTGTGAACGACTCAGTTCACATCTGCTTGGCTTTCACTTTACTATAGAGACAGACCACAAACCATTGTTGGCTCTATTAGGAAGTAAAGCACTAGCTTACCTGCCCCCCTAGAATCCAGAGATTTCACCTTAGATTGTTGAGATTTGATCAACACATAGTCTATATCCCAGGGAAGTTATTTGTCACAGCCAATGCATTGTCCAGAGCTTCAGTTGTGCACAGACAGTCCAAGGAAGAGAGCTCGAGGTTAAAGAACAGGTGTTGGTAAATGCAGTACATCAGTGTTTGCCAGCATCTAAATCAAAGTTGGAACAAGATTGCTGAACAGCAACCATATGCAGACAGAAGAGCTGCCTCAAAAGATAAAGCCCTGCTGGATCTATCAGGGTGAACTATACTTTGGGCTCTTAATGAAAGGGCAGATGACAGTTGCCCCAAAATGCGAGCCTGTTTGCATGAGGGACACATGGGTATATCCAAATGCAAAGTCTAGAAGACAGCAGTCAGCGTGATGGTTGGGCTTGGGTAGTTGTAGTTTACTGGAAATTGCTAAAGCAGTTTTGCAGTGTGACATCTATTTAAAACTCAGCCTAAACACTCAGAAGCCTTGATACCATCAGCTTTACCCAAGCGGCCCTGGCAGGGGTAGATCTCTTTGTCCTGAGAAGCACATTCTACCTTCTAGCAATAGACTGTCACTGAAGGTGGACTGAAATGGAAAGAATCCCTGTCACCACAGCCAAAGGAGTAATCACAGCATTGAATGCCATTTTCTCTAGGAATGGTCCACAGTTTTCCGGGGAAGCAGACAGGGCCGTTAAGACAGCCAAGACCTTACTGCTTAAAAATGACGACCTATAGAAGGCACTATTTTCTTTAACAGTATATTTTTATTACATACTACATTAAACTCTTATTTAAAAAAGGGAGGAAATTTCCACATAATGGGCTTTTTAATACATTGTTACCCCTTACTGGATGTATAATGAGTTGCATTAACAGACATAGTCAAGATTATGATTATGAAAATTTTATCGTTTTTAACGGTAATTCTGAGATATAATTATATAATATGTTGAACTGTGCTAAATATATCCAGACACATTAGGTAACAAGGTAAAGGGTTAGTTTTGATATCAAGTTTACTTTACAGGGGAACTCCACCGATTTTGCAAAATAACTTAATCACATGCAATTTACATGTAAACAAAATCATTCAGAGTGGTTTGGTGTGAAATGCGCCTTTCCAGAGAAATTTACCAAAATTGTTCACCATTACAGTACTAGGAACCAGATATCGTTATGTCTACACGACAAGTATTACCATTTTATCTGCCATCCAAAATGACCAGTGAACTTGCATGTGTCTTATAAGTTTTTATATGCCATGCTGATAATGGTAAAATACTGCTAAATCTGAAAAAACTACGCTTTCTTTGGATACTATTTTTCTACTACAGCGCCCTGCATCTACCTCTCCACCCTGCATGCCTTTTCTGTTGTTTGGGTTGGCGGCTTTTGCGTCGCACAGCGTTAGCAAAACTCAGAACTTATGCGAGTAACGTTATTCATCAGAGGAGCTGTGTACCAGAAATCCTGAAGTTGTGGCTAATTGTTTTAAAGCTACACACAAACATGAAAGTCAAACAACGAAGACTACTCAAGAAAAGTGGGAAAATGCAAAGCGGATTTCTTCAAATGCCGACTGCTAAACAAAACTGCTGCTCCCTCTGTTGTATTTTACACCACAGAAACTGGAATCAAGGTAAGAAAACATTTGTGAGTGAAACAGATTAGTTGTTGTTAGCCACCGCACATATATTAGTGTTGCCTGTCAGCTTACAGACTGTCTAAAGTAGGCCACACAGTGAAATAACTAGCTATCTGCCTCTATATCATACCTCATAAACTGCAGAGTAACAAGTGGTTTGTTGTTGAGACCAACAATTTCCATTCATCCTAGGTTCTTCTGCCTCAGCGCCGGTTGGTCTATCTCTCTCTCTCTCCCCCTTTTGGCTCTCTCTTCTTAAAGCCACTGCAATTTGTGTATTCTGGTTCAAATCGATTTGGGGCTACGACATTTTGGAAACACACCTCCTGGATCTTCCAAAATGGGTATGAAAACCGTAGAAATAAACTGTAAACAAAAGCTGCTGCTGGCTGTGGCTCCAGGCTAGAAAAAAGCGTGTTAGCTTGCGCACCTTGATCTCGGTTAGGAATGCGGGGAAACACGTGAGTGATCACGGAGTAATAGTTTATACTAAAAATACGTTTTATGCCAAAACTTTATAACTATCACAAGTCTCAGGTGTCAAGCAACGCATTTATAACCAGTGTTTGTGTAATACCTTAATGGGATAGAGCCATTAAATGCTTTGGACGTCTGGTTCCTAGTACTATAATGGTGAACTATTCCGACTCTGTAAATTTCTATAGAAAAGCACATTTCCCACTGAACCACTCTGAATTATTTTGTTTACATCTAAACCATTTAATGAGTAATTTTGGAAAATCGGTGGAGTTCCCCTTTAAGTCTATAGTGACACGGAAAATACAAGCAACTTCTGACTGCGTGGGCGGGGCTGGATCTGGTCTGACTCCACCCCTGTACCAATGGAAGCGCTGGAAAGACGGGGATTTTAATCCAACTCCACCCCCTGGACTTTTCTTTCTGCATTGACGAGTACTTGTGATAGGCTGTAACCTAATTCACTCACCACATAAACTTGACATTTATGATTCTAATATACCACTGAAATGAGTTGGGGAGCGACCCCCCCCCACCCGGCTCCATCGCTCAATTAATCAGGTTTATAAGGTCACAGGACCAGCAGCTGTCTCATTTCACTGTAGCATTGATCAGGATGACGCTTTTCCCACCTGTGTTCCTGCAGAATTTAGACAGCCGGAGTGTTTCTAACTGGGTTATTAGCCAATCACATCATAAAACACGAGTCTACACCAATCATAACGCAGGACTCGAGATGCTTCTAGCCAATCACAGCTTAGGACGTGTGAGATGCGAGATGCTTGTAGCCAGTCACAGCACAGGACATTACAGATTTCGAGCCAATCACAACGCAAGACGCGAGGTCCCAACCGCTGCGCAGAAGGCGTTTGTCGGAATACAGGTGTGAAAAAAACTCCATTGAAGCGGTAGCCCTGGAGACGCGGAGCGGAGAAACTGAGCGCTGTAACTTTACCCGGAGATGACATGACACACCAAACCGTATCGATAAACACTTCACCCTGAGGCGTCAGACAAGCTGTGTTTTACTCAATTGATTACTTTTGCCATGGGAAACTTTTCATTAAGCGGTGCTGCTCTACTCTCTGTTAATAGTGAGTTCTCTATGATGCTGTTTTTGTGAGAGATCCGCTGCGTTGTCCGCCTGTTTGGACATCATCATGCCCAGCCGGCAGAAGAAGGTCGTGTTCTCGCTTGGTGGAGCGCTGAGTTTCGGCACGGTGCTGCTCGTGGCGGCGGCGATGGGAACCCGCTGGTGGGTGAATGCCAGCGTGCTGTGCCAAACCGGCGCCCAGCTGGTGAACGCCACCGGCTCCGAGCTGGATAAATTTATGGGCACCGTGAGCTACGGGCTCTTCCACGGCCAGAGGCTGAAGCAGTGCGGCCTGGGAGGGAGACCACTCTCCTTCTCCTGTGAGTACAATGTAAAAAAAAGGTGTTTTAACTTAAAAAGGTGACGTGGCTCTAAACTATTTAAAATATGTTCAATTAAACACATTTGAAATAGTAAAGAACAACAAACACGCAATAAATTACACAGATAATTAACATAAACAACTTTCCAAATAACAGTTTACATCTCTGCTAAAAAAAAGACCATTAGAAACATTTGGGTGAAAAGCTGATGGTTTTGGTTTCTAATAGAAACTGGCTTCATGGTTAACATCAGAGACCACTAGTTTCCTGTATGACACCTTTAGATCCCATTAGCAAACAATCAAATGCATCTGATCAGTCCCAGAACACCTTTTAAACCATTAGAATTCTTTATCAACCTATCAGAAAAACACAAATACCATTACTAACTATTGCACACCACCAGGAACCAATAAAAACTCTTAATGGTTTCTATGATTTTTTTTTTATTCACTAGGAAGCGCAGCCTGAGATGATGCTAAAAGGTAATTCCACTGATTTATTTCTGCATAATTCAATCATTTATTTGTAAACCAACTAATTCAGAGTGTTTTGGTTAAAATGGTGCATTGTGGAGAAACTTACTGACTCAGATTTCTTTACAGTGGTGGTGATAGGAACCAGGGTGTGCAATGTTTACAATGCAAATATTGCTGTTTTATTTACTATCCAACATGACCAATTAACTTACCCATGTCTTCTGAGTTTTTATATGTCATAAATCTGAAAACAAAAATTTGGGGACTCCTTTGCCTTTCAATGCCTTGCATGTGCCTTTCTGCATGAATGCATTTTAAGCCCTTAAAATCCTAGGCTTATTACTTACTAAGGGTTATTATTCAATAACTACAATGCAAACTGGTTGAGCTATTCACAGGTTATAGAAGTGTGTCATAAAACGTTGGGCCTGCTGGCAGGCCCTGGCCATTTGAGGGGTTAAAAATAGGTTTTAGGCCAAAACCTTATCTCAGGGGTATAACAATGTTTCAGGCATCAGCCAGCTTATTTGTAACTGTTTTGTGTAATAACTCTCTTGAGATGTCTGGTTCCTATCACCACCACTGCAAACAGTTGTCTCTCAGTAAACTTCTCTAGAATGGCACATTTCTCATCAAACCATTCTGAATGACTCTGTTTGCATCTTATCTATTTAATTATGCAGAAATTTTGAAAAATTAATGGAATTTCCCTTTAAAAGACACCACTATGAGAAAAACACAGCTGAGCCCACATTACACATACATGGTTTTCTACATCTGCACATTACTTGCCATTGTCTTTCTCTGAGTGTAGCAAGTAAAGCGCTCAAATGTAACGAAATGGCTCCTGTGGGAATACTGGACACACACAAGCTTCAGATTTATGAAGTGCAATAAATTGGATCGTTTTGGGAGCCAGTGGGATGCTTTGGCTTAATTGAGATGCACTGGATGCTCCAAATCCCCAAATCTCCCTCTGCAGTGTGCCACTATGAACAAGTGATGTGATAACAGAGCATTCTTCACTAATGAGCTCTGGATGTGACCCAGACAGGGGGCATTCCGCTCCACAGAGCCACAGGCAGCACTGTGCTCCTGCTGCATCTCCACAGACCATGCAAAGATTTATGCTTTTGATTGAAAACGTTTGAGTAAACTGAAGCTTTGTGCTTGCTTATGTCACAGGCCTTTTGTCTGATCTCATCTTTTTAACCCCAGAAATGAAACCTTTACATAAAGACTGAACTGTAGGCTCTTTTCAGAAATTGCTTGTATTTATTCAGTTTTTTAAAACAAATCTAAAGGATGAGTAGTTCTATAACTTCATCACTCATCCATAATAAGTATTACTGAAATATTTATTGATTAATTCAGTTTCAATGAAGCTCCTGAAAAAAGCATCATAAAGCTCTCTGGAACTGCACAGGTATAGATTAAACACAGCTTGAGGAAAGTGGGAGGTGGTGTTACTTACATGACTACTTTTTATTTTTACATCTTCTGAGTGCATCGTGCACATACTGTTATACAGTCCCTGTACACTGTTGTATACATTATGCTAATCTGGTATGACTGAATTTCCCTTTGGGGACTTCTAATCTTTTATCTTATCTTGTTCTTCCTGTAGTTTTTCCTGACCTGGTGGATGTGATCCCAGCCAGTCTTCACGTGAGCGTGATTTTCTTCTGTGCTGTGCTCATCCTCTTCTCTTCCATATGTTGTGCCTTCTTCACGTACAATGCCTTTGGTAATCCGTACGAGACCCTGCATGGGCCGCTGGGCCTCTATCTGTGGAACATGATCAGCTGTAAGTACAAACACACTTGCTTTTATAGCGTCAGGAAATAGGTAACCTCAGTACCAAAAAAAAGGTTTTGCTGTTCCAGATTTAAAACATTAAACGTTTTTATAAAAGCTTTACAATCTTTGTTGACTCTGATATTCTATGTTAGGCTTGTTTTTCCTCTAGCTTTCAACCAATGTAGGGACATTTTTGGCCTGAAAATGTGCTAAAACAAACACACATACACACAGATACTCCTGTATCTGAACAAGGAATGTAAATAACTAACAAAAAAACAGTTGATCAATCAGTGTTGTTGGTTAAAAACTGTTCATTTATTTTTTAAAATTAATTTCCAATAACAACAGTTCCCATTTGAAAGGTGCTATGGGCAGTTGATTACACTAGATAGGCCACCTAAAATATGACGCACAGCTAAAAATAGTGCTTTTGGTACCACTTCTTATGAGAATGATAGAATAGCTACAAACATGTACCATAATGTAGGCAAACGTCTGCAAGCACTTAGAAATGTGACTACTATTTTGTCCATGAGTATAGTTGTTGGTCACTTTGTTTAAGCAAATCCACGTTCTTATGTAGGGTATGTTTAATATGGTTTCAGATCGTTTACACATTAATGCCTGACACCACCTATCAGTGCTTCATTCCACAATTCATTCATGTCTCAGTGCATTGACACAATTCACATGAAGAGTGCATATATCAAGTATTTTACAATAGCTTCAAACCTTTATTATTGATGTTTTGATGGGTCATGTTCTTGATTTTAGGCGTCAGTTAACGATTTGACTAATGGCCATTTGTTATCGGTCAAAAGGAGGCATAGATTTGTCTATTTTTTTATTGTTGTCTTTCTATTCGTTCTTTTTCCAAGCCCACACACATGTAATCCCTGAAGGTTCTTTTGAAGCTCTGCACTGTGAATCTGAGCCTCTATAATTTACTGATCAACACACTGAAATTGTTTTTATGTAACTCTTAGGAGAAGGGTTGGGATTAGTTTGCCTAATAAATAAATAAAGGCATGGAAATAAATGTATTTGTGCCAACTGGTCAGCCCATCACCAGTGTCAGATGACTCTGTTGTTACATACTGATGGACAGTGCCATTTTAATGGGCAGTTTAACCTGTCAGTGTAATTGGTCCCATTAAGACGCGAAGCGAGAATTAAGACTATTATTTACAGCACTCTGCAGTTCAGCCTATGGGTTATAGTGGCAAAGAGGAACAAACAGAGCATGTTTTAGAAAATAGTTCAGAGTTTAGTGCAGAGTTCAGGTATTAGTTATACAGTATCAGACAAATCAGTGATATCACAATAACAAAGTACTTAATTAACCAGTAACAGGAGTTATTAAACCAACAAACAAATATTGATTATGTTCATCTAAACTAACATTTTTTTAGTTTTTTTTTTTCAGGTTAAACTGACAAACCATTTTTTTCAGAGTGAATATAAAAAATCATTACATCAGAGAGTCATTACAAAATGGTGTATCTTTATTGTACAGGAACAAATGAAGTAATAGAAACTAAAAAGCCCAGTACTTCATATTATCTAGCAAAGAAAAAGCCTCAGATTAATTGGCCACATGTTCTCATTTACATCACACTTAATGTCCTCTCTTGCTTAAATATGTACAAATAAGCACTTGCTTATTGTTTTCTGGCCCCATAATGGACTGTCCATTGTGAACAAAATAACTCCAGGACTGACAGCTCAGGAATCAACCGTGATTGGCATATTTGCACATAATTTACACGTTTTTTTTTATTTTAGGGCTTTGAATGTCATCTGATATAGTGTTTGTGACTGAGCAAGTTGACTGCCACTTTATTTGTGTTAGTTTCTGGTATTCAGTGTAACATTGTATGTAAGCGTTTGCAAATTGAGCTACAAACTGATGCACAGTTTTACTGACTGACATTGTGGTCACTGAATGCATTCTGTTCTCAGCCAAGCAAGAAAATTGTTAATGATTTGGTCCAAACAGAGTGTTGGTAAATATATGAAGAATTTTGAAAAATATCTCATCACTGAAAATGCTTGTTAGCAATTGCAAAAAAACTGTAATGATATTTTTTGCTTCAGTTCTGTTCATATTTACTGGTATTTTTAAATGAGCTTCTCCTGGATGCCAGCAATGCACCGAAGTGCTGCTAAATTACATGTTTGCAAAAGTTATAATTCGCTCTATGTTATAACTAATAAAGACCAAATTTAAAGGACCACTTAAGAGAATGGAGATTTGTGAAAAAGTTCTGTGGGCTTTAAATTTCAGGATGAATGATGTTCCTGTCAATAAACTAAAAGATTACAGTTTGTTTCTTCTTTATTTTGTTATATAACTGGAGTTAATAGAAATTTTTTTTAAAAAAAATCAAGTTGTAAAATGACTACTATGCTACTATTATTTTTAGTTATGTGACATACTTTGTCCCGTTGTGCAGGTCTGTGCAGCTGTCTGGTCCTGATCCTCTATGCAGCAGAAGTCAAACTGCACCGCCTGTCTGAGAGCATTGCTAACTACAAAGAGGGCAGCTTCGTCTACAAGACACGCAGTGAGAAGTTTGACCGCTCCTTCTGGCTCATATTCTTGGTCTTTCTTGTGCACTGCCTTAACATCTTACTGATCCGCCTGGCGGGGGTCCAGTTTCCTTTCCAGGGGGCCAAAGAGTCTGATGCCACCACGGGCGCAGCTGATCTCATGTACTGACCAGTCCTATTGTTCACCAGCTCTGCCACCCGGCACGACATCCTATCGTGGCTATTAGCGCTTCTCAATAGCAGCCTTGCATCTTGCAACATCCGTTGTTGTGGTTTGTTTACTGATGAATAGGCAAGGCACATCTGAGCCTCTTAAGCTTCATCCTTTCACTTTCAGAAGAGGCATAGGCCTTGGAGTTAGAGTCCTGGCTGTGTCTGAGAGAGCTGTCTTATCTATCGCGCTGCAGGGTGGCTAGTGGAGGCACCCAGTCTTTCAGCCACACTCCTGATTGCGTATTCTGTTCACTGCCACTGCAGTTAAGGCTCAGTATTTTAAATGAATTGATGAAATGCAGAAATTGGTTTGCTCAGCTCTGTTTCTTCTGTAAGGAAACTATATCTTTCGTTGTATTATGTTTAGCATTCACATGCTTTGTAACACTACCCTAATGCACAGTGGTTAACTGTATTGGGTAACTGTTTATCTTGGATATGCTCTTGTTTAGATGTCCAACCACAATGTGCCATGGATCATGACTGTTATGAATAGCAAATGTACTTCAAATTACGAGAACCTTTGATATTAGCCTTTAATGTGAATTATACTTATTTATATTGGTTAATGGAGCACGAACAATAAACATGGAGGGTACAAAAAGAATGTCAAATTTGAATAATAATTAAAATACTTCAAATGTACGTGATACTTTAATAGTGTGTCTGTATAAGTTAACCGTTTTAATGTATAGATGTGACCAATAGGGACACAATTGTATTGTAAGATATTAGTGATTAAAGTCCCAATCAGAAACTGCTGAAACAGTTCAATAACTGACCAGTGTCTAGATCTGCTTCTGTAAAAGGAAAATTATGTACCTGTATATAGTAAATTTTGGTGGGTGAATGTTTTCTGCAAATGTGCTGAAAACTGGCCTTGCAGGTGAACTGATTACTGAATGAGGCTTGAAAGGAGTTTTTGTGTTCGAGTAAAACTGCTTGTTTAAGATTTAGTCCTTACTCTGTGTTGTACTGCATCTATGAAATGATGAACTTCATCCTTTAACATTTAACACTATTTTTGTTGTTTTGTTGTTTTAATGCTGCAAAAGCACGTACAACTCAAATCTGTGATTTTCAAATAAAATGAGTTTTTTCTTGATATACTGATGTTGTGGTGTCTAAATGCTATGTAGACATGTGGAAATGTCACACTGAGTGAAAAGGTTTGTTATTTACTTATTTCAACATTTATGTGAAACTTTAATGTATTACTTTTCTATGTAATTTTAAATAGTCTATTTTATGATGAATGGACCAATAAAAATGTTCCAAATTCACTTGGAATAAAACCTCTTCATATTAATTTACATTAAAAGTAAGGAACATTTTTGCCCTCTCCTGAAAAGTTAAGATGTTGGAGGTATATGTTTCTCATTGGACCGCAATGATATTCTACAAATTATTTCTGTCTTTATCTAGAAAATAGAAAAACATTTCACAAAGATGCAAATATGATATTACTAAAAATAAAGGTACTAAATATAGTGCATGTCTGTCTAAATACAACACTATACTATAATTTTCAGATCATCTGAAATGTAGAAAATTATTTTAAATTAAGGCTTTAATGCTGGTATACAGAGGTTCTGTGCAGGTACATTTTTCATTCATCAAGGTACAAACAATGTAAATGTTCCCTCAAAGGTACAACAGTGGTTGTAAGGTCTAATTGTGAACCTTAAAGAAGTTTTTCCAAGTGAAAATTACATATTTGCACGTTTTCATCACCTAATGTTTAAAACAGAACAATAAAATAAAAGCCTGGAGACGAGACGGGGTGTGTGGAGTCAATGCAACTTAGAAAACATACGTTCAGTGGATTATGGTACAGTTATATTCCCTGACTAAAGGTACTGAGATGTACCCTTGAGGGTACCACCCCAGTGACAGGAGGGGCACTGCCCTAGTAACAGTTTCATACCTTTATTTCTGAAAGTGTAGGTATATTATTTCAAATTGAAAGTGCTGGAGTGTTACAAAAAATGACGCAACAGAAAATCTCTGTGTGCCCTTATACTGCATGTTATAGTGGATGTTATAGTGGATGTTCTGCTGTTATTCAAAGGCATTATGTGTTACAGACCCATGACATGGCCTAAAAGCTGAAGCAGTTTGATTACGGCATCTAATCATTTAAATCCAAGAACAGACTGCTCTGAATAGCTCAAGAGCAAAATAAACACAACAACAGAACAAAAATGAAATGTAAGTTTGCTTTTTTAACTTTATACATAATTGATTTTTCAAAAAACAGTTCTTCTCACTAAAGATAACCTAATCAAGCTCCTGCATTGTTACCATAAACTTGAAACTACTGTAAACAAAGTACTCCACCCACTGGCAGAAGAAAGAAGTCTGACATTCAGTAAGGACGTCACCACTTCCACCTGCCTCATGAATACGTAGTGACATGAACATATAAATAGAGGATTTTGTTCTGCTTTGTTGAGAGGCTTGAATTTTTGGTATGGAATGGATTTAGAGAAAAGTCATCTGAGCTTCCATAACTTCTAACTAACTTCTGCACCAGTCTCACTACATGAAAAGGAAAATACAAGGTAGGCTTGTAAAACTTTCACTGAGTTATTAAATGATTTTTTGCAGTGCTTTAGATTCAATCAACTTTATGTAATTCCTGTTTTGGAGACAGAAGAAATATGTAGATTGTAATGGCAGCTGGTGAGTGTGCAGGTGATCTCAGTTATATTGGCAAAATGTATAACATAGAGCACCAGGATTAAGTTCTGGGTCACTCAACTGAATTCAGGATACATGAAATGTGAATCTTTCTTTTAAAACTGACGGAAACAAGAAAATCTTAAGCTAAGTCACATTTCTTCTAATTTAAATAATTTATATAAAATGCTCTTTTATTTCCAGTATTTCCAGTTCCAAATAATGTATTTTGTTAAAATGTTTTATATTAAAATCTGCATTTTAAGTAATTTTAAACACTTACATGCTATAATTAAGTTACCTTTGCATTAAAGTGTAAAAAATAAAATCATATAGCTATTGATACCGTAATGAATTAAAAAGGCTCTTCTATGATTTCCAAAGCTTTTTCAGAACTCTAATATAGTCTCTCTAAAAGGCAGTTTCAAAAGCTACCAAGCTTGCAACCTCTGTTCACTTGTAGCCTTCGAGATGTCTCAGTAACAGTCTCACGATCTGTGAGAGCTCTAACAGTGAAGACTTACTGGAATATTAACATTTTTCATCCCAGGCGTCCTCAACTATTTCTGATTGCTCTGAAGAAGAGTTAGCAGCAGCTAAAGTTGAGCTCATATAATACAGTGTCTCTATAAACTAGTTGTGTTTCTGAAACAGCGCTCTTGAATATATCTCAGTATTTCTATGGCCCGCTTGTTATTTCAGCTTTTCTCGTTTACACAGTGATCTACTGACGTTTGCTACTGGTTTGGTTTGATATTGGTTCAAAAACCATCTGTTGCGATGCTGGCAACCCTCTAGCGTTTATAGAGGGGAATAACATGCACGTAACCTGCTACATGCGTCGCAGAACCAGCCAACTATGACGTCTTTTTAAAGATATAAAAGCCTCACTGTGGAAGAGGAAGTTGACGTCACCCAGCACCCCACATATGATTTTGAGATATAAATTGATTCTTGGTCTGACTTTGATTCTGAGTGATTCCGTTATTCAGTTTCAAAATACGTGATTCAGAACCTGAACAGATGTGATCCAGTTTATTAATCTGTATCCCGGATCTGACATAAATTCTGGGACAAATTCTGACTCAGATTCTTTATAAAAGTGGTTCTAAATGTTAAAGTCAGTCTGATTCTGACTCATCCACTTACAGTTTACACGGTTTCTGTTCTTGATACCGATATGAGTGAAACTTTTGACTGCAACTTTGAACTTTCCACATGCATCAAAGTGACCCTGCAGAGGGCTTATCCAGAGACAAAGGACTCTTTTCTGATCAACAAGGCCTATAGATGAGCTCCACGTTCCTGGAGACAATCTCGTGACAGGAGAAGACAGAGGGGAACTGACACTGATCCGCTTGTCTTGTGTATTAAATGAATACACGTACAGCGTTTTGTGATTTTGTGCTCTTTTTGAATCCAAACTTTCACACTTTATGTCGTCAGTAGAAGGAAAATTGCACTAACCAGCTAAACCACAGGACGGTGTTAAGAACAGAAATGGAGCATTGGATTACAGCCCTTAAAATGACAAGCAAAAAAAGAACAACTATCTGGAGCATTGCATATTCTGAATCCCTAAATATCTGCTTATAATTATGATGTTGCTATTACAATAGTTTGGTGACGTTTGTATATTTTATTGTGTTTCACTTTGTGTATTGTTTAAATTACACTTTTTCTGCTGTTTATTAATTTGCCCAATTACTTGTAGGGATGTGTGGTGTAACTGTTGTAACTGCATAATAATAATAATAATAATAATAATAATAATAATAATGTTAAAAAACATATCGTAGGAGGGTGCCAATCAGAGGGAAATTTCAACGGGCCAATCGGAGTGCACGAAAAAAAAATTAAAAGTAGCCAGTGACGTAAGTGACGCTAGTAAAACATTAAATAGATGCAAAGCTGAAAAGCGTACTGCAAGAAAAGAGAACGTTATAAGAGCTGTATGTTCACAAACTCGTATGAAAATATAGACCAAGGCCAACACTATGATGCTTAATTCATTAATTAATCACATGCGAATGAACTTTGAACAAAATTCGCCCGCGGCTCGAAGGAACTGCTCGGTTTTCTTCGCCTTTGGTTACGGCAGGTACTTAAAAGACCCAGAAGATGGCGCCCTAGAGCGTTGCATTTGGTCCACTTCATCTGCAAACTGGAATACCAGACTTTGACATACAGTTTAGCTTTTGTTGTTGGCCAAGTCCTTCAAGGGGACACATTTTAAGTTAAACTTACCTTTAATGTTATCATGCGCTTTTATTGAGGTGTTTTTATTTACCAACAGGCGAGTCACTGTCCAGTTTGTAGATACAGAGCTCAGGAGCAGTAGGCGAACCCAGCGAGGGCAGTTTAACTGGCTGCATTATTGTGAATTATTTATCTCCGGGAGAGCTCAGCCGTGTTAAACCTCACTATACATGACCATGACCATGGCCGAGTGATAGGTAATGTACTTTAAGCTTGCCTGCCTTTTCTTTTTCTCAGATGAAAGCACGCTTAAGTGTCTCCTTCTGCCTCACTGAAACCATTCAGCGAGGGTAATTTAGACCTTGTGCTTGCACGCGCTTTTCCGCTTACATGGGTTCCCGCCACCTCTTAAAGAACTCATATCCTACTTTTCCCTTGTATTTTATTTGATCCTGGGCGGAGCAGCATGGTCACTCCCCGACTTGAACCAGAAACTCGATTTGGACTACGCATGCGCATCAAAGATATCGCGCATGTGTAGTCCAAATCGGGTTGGTTCATGCAGAGAACTTACCACACTGTAATGTCTTCCGGGTTTCTCAAACGCTAGAGGGCGCTCTCGAGTCCAAAATGAATGGGTTAATATGGAGCATTTGAGCAAAATCATAGTTTATAAATGCTTAAACATTTTTAATGTAAAAGAATACAGTCATTTCCTGAACACTGAATAGCATAAAACATTTTAACACCACTGTTATATTTTTAAGAGCTTTCAAATTATAGCAGTTTAAAACAGCGCCACATGTACACCCTTGATGTCTGTGAGCGCGAACAGCCACTGCTGAACAGCTCCTCTCGCCAACTAATCGGCACTCAGTAGCAGTAATGCCAGTGTTCTGCTGCCCAGAAAAAAAAGGAAACATATGGATAAGTTTTCTTTGCTGTTTTAGTGAAATACATCCTTCTACTTTCTAAAATTAAAGGAAAGGTCTGGGCAAGTGATTAGAAACTTTTTTAACTTTTCGTTTTTAGCCGATGAGCTCCATTTTCTCCCATTCACTGAATTCGCTCGCGGGCGCCCTCTGGCATTTCGCAGTCTTTTGATATAACCGGGAAAATAAGGAGTGGGCAGGCTCCTCTTAAACCGGCTCTGGGTTGATGTATATTTTCGTGCATGCGTCGTCCAAAGGCTCTCCGGTGATACTTCGGGCAGGCACGCACGGCCGGCAGTCTTGTCTGCGTTTGAGGATCTGGCACATGTGGAGTTAAGGCTGGGGCACCTTCTGAACGCACTGCACCGGCCGACCTCTCCAATCCGCCGTCGTTGCGGTCCACTTAACATTTGTGTTTCCCAAAAACACTCAAAATTAATTTTTATCTTACTATTTTTCAGCCTCACTTTATCCCTTAGAATTAAAGAGGCAGTTTTTACTTCGTCGTGTAGAGTGATTTTCTATTGTAGCAGCAGCGAGGAAGACAACACGGGAAACATTGAGCTTTAAAGGTGAATGCTCTTTTACTGAACAGGCAGCTAGGGAGCGCTGCTGCTCGGGGCTGTGTCCTCCACATCAGAAAGACTGAGCGCTGCATCCTTCTCCCCTAGCGTGGCGTCAGCTCACCGTGCCGTCGATGCTGGCAGTGGTGCTGCTCATGAGCGCACAGGAAGTGCCCCAGCAGTAACTCCTGTGCCGGGCTCCTTTTGGATGCCGGACATGCCTGCTGGACCATCTCACTGAGCTCTGCCGCTACACTGCTCCGTCATAAGGTCCCCGTCGCCGTCTGTCGTCCAGGCGTCCTTGCTGCCATCTCTTTTGCCGTCCTCCAGCTGGGCTCCACTACCAAGCTTCTTCTTCTGCGGGCTTGGCTAGGTTCGGTCTTGTCTGCCTTTTCCCTTTGAGTTGCTGAAGATGTAGGAAAGATTGTGCTTTAAAGGCAAATGCTCTTTTATTGAACAGGCAGCAAGGGAGAACTGCCGAATTGCCACTAACATGGTCGGGAAGCAGGCAGGTCATGCCTAGCCATACACTTTAAATATAAACCATAAACTTTACAGTAGGCGCCAACACTGGCTACCCCACAGCCCAGTACAGAATAGCACAGCCAACACTGATGCATTTGTTAAGCTAACAACAATCCATAATATCCATAATATATGTCTCTCTTACCATGAGCATGGTGCTAACCGAGGCCCTCTTTGCTTGGTCGCTTTGCATGGCCACACCTCCTGTCCTATAGCAGCATGGCCAGTGGCAGGATGTGCCAATATATAAATATATTTTTTGAATGGCTGCTGGGCAGTTTTAGTGGAAATGTAAATGTGACATCACTAAAATGACTTGAAATATATTCAAACAAAATAATTGAAAATTGCCTGTTTTTGCTGGTTTGACTGGTACAATTTAAAACTTTTGCATTGTTTACATGATACATCAAACTCTTTATTTCAAAAGTGAGGAAAATTCAGTTTTTCATGATATGGGCCCTTTAAGTAGTGTGTCACCTACCAGAGGTGTGTGTATGTGTGTGTGTTTGTGTCACCTGCAGATGGAAGGCAGCCTTCAGAGTGCTACACAAGTCAACACGGAGCTGGACGACATCCTCAGCCAAATAGCAGAGCTTGATAAATGGAGAGAAATTTTCAACACACAAGGGTGAGAAGAAGTGTGGGATGTTTTTAAACTGTTCAGCCTGTCTTACTGGCCTCCTCACACCATGTGTTTATTTTTGCAGGTTGGAATTACAAGGCTGTTTTGCCAAGGTAAGTTTAAGTTTTCAGTTTCTATTTGTCTTTCCTTTTACCTGCCAGTTATGCAACTGTTTTAGTATGAAGGAGTCAGTGTAGAGAGAAGCACAGCTTTTGCTCTGATATCAAATAACTCTTGGTCAAACCTTGTCTTTATGTGGTTAAGCCTGACAATACGATAACTGATCCTTCAGACAGAGTGGGCTCAGGTAACTCTATGTCATTTCTGTCCAGTCAAAGTGATATGTGTGTGTGAAGCCTGTGTATGTGTGTGGCTGTGATGCTTGCCACCAACCTGATATCCTTTAAACCCCGGGACGCAGCAAGAGGGGTGGTAATTCCTGCTCCGCCTCATCAGCATCATTTCTTTTTATACTCCCTTTACCTTGTTTTTCCACTGTCTCACTGGACCAAGTACCGGAACTATGTGTGAGAGTGAAGGTCCGTGCGATCACCAAGTGCATGTAGCAATGGCGGACTATAAGCAGCTATTACAGACCATTAGGACTCTACAGCCTTCCAGGCTCAGTTACATAGAGCTTCTTCAAGAGGAGGTGAAGAGAAGCCAGGATGTGAGTGATCACCTAAAAATTTTTATTTGGTGTCGTGAAGCTGAGACCCTCTCTGTGGTCTGGGATTGTTTTTGGACTTAATACCATTGTTTGTGGAAGTCAGCCATGAATGACTGCGCTAGTATTAGAGAGACCGAGAAAAGAGGAGTGAGAGCAGAAATTAAGAATCCAGAGAAGAAGGCTGAACTAGATCTTTTGAGACTAAATATGTTTAATGAAGTTGAACATATAGTACGACTACACTTGTGGAAAAGTGTATTGTGGTTATGTTGCTACATGTTGGGCTAGTTTCATGGATGAGGATTAAGCCTAACCTTGGACTAAACTACAATGTAAATAGTGTTTTACCATTGAAAATCCTATTTAGGCTTAATCTTAGTCTGGGAAATGGAACCATTGCGGAACCATCTGAGCATACCGTGGATATCAGTACTTAAAGCACACTGAAAAACAACAGGTTTTATTACAAAGAGATGACAATAAGTCTTATTTATTTGAATTGAATTTAGTGCTGTGCAGTATGTGACATGCTTGTGGCACCATATACATGTTTCAGGCTTCTCTGATCGCAGTATTACAAAGGTCATTACAGTGGTAACAATTAACACTCCCTCTGCCTCTGTCTCTAACTCCTATAGAGAGCACCTGAAAGGATTAAAGCTGAGGAAGAGACTGAGGATGTTTCTAGGTCTTCAACCTCAGCCCAGACACCCACAGGCTACGTTAACCCGCTGATGGTGCCTTACTCCATCCCCCACTCTCTTGTTGTCTCCCCGAGTCTGGGTGGGCACCCTGTGTCGCCTGAACTCGCCATGGTGAGTTATGGAAAACGAGCCTGTCACTTGACCCTAGTGGGCCTGCCTCCCTCTGCGTCAGATGTGCTTCTAGAGCGTATGCCTCAGACAAAGGAGAGTATAGACTTATCATTTAATAATTAGACTTCAGTCTGGTGGACTGTGCAAGGGGGCGTGCTTTGGAGAAACTCAGAGCTAACTAGAGCAGTAGTGGGGTATTAGTTTAGTTAGCAGTGAGAGGCAAGTCAAGAATGCAGTTACTAATTTTGTAATGTTTGATTTTGTTTCTCATGTAGAGTCTGAGAAAGATCTTGTTTGGAAACACGTTCCACATCTTCAACTATGAGTGGAAGAAATCTTTCTTCAAGTTCCGGGAGCCCCACTCAAATCTGTCTTACGCTCTGGAGGCAGAAAGAGTGAGTCATTCATTATAAAACTGTCTCTGTATTGTCATCTTAAACTGTCGTCTTATTGAGATTTAGTAATGCGATCATGCAATCATGTTTTGATGTCTTAGGTCATGGCCATGACCTAGTACTCGATTTTTACAAGAAACACAAGCGAACATGAAGTGACAAAACAGGAAGAAACAGTTTGTACCCTGTGCACACAGCACTAAAAGAAAGAGCTTTCTGAGTTGATGCATCTTGCATCTTAGGTGTCATCTTGTGAGCCTAAAATCATATATCCAGGGAGGAGATTGTGAGAGATTATGCAGATACATGACTCCCCACTTTCAATTTTGACCTTAAACATTGCATTAATCTCTCAGATGGATCTGTTTCGTATCATTGATGACTTAGTTGTATGCAAAGGTTTGGACACACCTGGTTGTTGATTTTCTAAGTGATAAAGAGTTAACACATTCTGTAAATGAAGCAAACTTAAATATGACATGTTTCTACAAAATTTCAGAGCAGAATTGAACAAATTGGAAAAAAACCCTGAAATATAAAATATTCCTTTTACACAGACCACAATGTATTTTTTTTGTTGCTAAATTCAGCTAATAAACAGTAATTATGTATTATTGCCTCTATCTTTCTGTATTTGTTCAAACATCTTGTGTTAAACACTCATTAAAATAGAGAATGCAACTTTCTTCATCGAGGACATGTTGCAGTATGACTTTCAGAATGTCTTTGCTTCTTATACAATATAAACTGAGATGGAAGATCTAATGTCAGAGTAAGATATAAGGTCATATGTCAGACACATGCACATGTTCCAGTAATCAGTCAGATTGACCTGTTCTTGGCATACTGCTAAACATGGTGCATAAGAGAAGAGAGGTTGTGTTGCACCACGCTCCTCTCTTCTTTCCTATTGTGATTGTCTCTCAGCTTATCTTGATCAGCGTAATCTGACCAAATCTTTCTTGGCGTGTTAATGTCACTAATCACCTTTGTTATTTTTGAATGAACTTAAAACATTACTGTAAGACTTACTTACAGATCAGTGGCATCCTTGAGGTACCTAGAGTTATTTTCCATTTGTTCAGTTAGTACATTTGCATAACATTACAGGGAAAATCCATTATGTCAAGAATCATTTATGGCAAAACTTTTCTGGGGTCAGCAGTAACATTTGGGTCTTGGACCAAATTCTCCTGTAAATGATGTTTCTTCAGTCAAATAGTTTTCTTTGTCTGTGTCCAAATGTCTGTCTGTGCACTTCAAATGATAGTGGATAGTATGAAAGGATTGCATTGCAACCTTTACAGTGACCTGTAAAAGTGCCCAGACCAATGACACACTAAAAGAGCTGTACAAATATTAACAAAAGCATGGGATCACAATGTGACAGTGTAGTGGGCAAAAGAGCTACTACAATGTACTTTTTGACTACTCTCTGATGAATAGTCCTGTTTCAGACACACTAAGCTAATTCCAGTAAGCCAGTTTCCCAAAAGCATCTTTGTGTTAAGATCATCTTAACTGGTAGAGAGTTTTCAGTGTGATGCTGTCTCTACCATTTAAGAATTGTCTTCTTCGTGCTACACCCCTGAAAAGTTGCCTTTTCTTCTGCCTGTGTACTGTTTTCTTTGGCCAGGTTCTGTTTTTTTTTTTAATAATATTTTTACTATTTAATTATGTTACACATCTCACACAAGCATGCAAATGCTTTAAACTTGATTTTTACATCTTGTTGCTAGGCATGTGTCGATATAAAAATGTAATATTGTGATAATTACATGTACATTCATGTAAGGTTTTAATATTTTTTAATAGCAATACAAGGTGGTGGTTGTACATTTTGGGGATTTCTCTCTTTGGAAAAAAAAAAAAACTTCCCTGATGATGGCTTTTTGTATGAGGGGACAGCATTCTTCATTCATTTCTGGAATTTTTTTTGGCCATCATGTCTTTGTTTTCCCCTAGATAGGCTGGGTGGATGACACATGGTGCTTTGGATAGTATGAAAGGATTGCATTGCAACCTTTACAGTGACCTGTAAAAGTGCCCAGACCAATGAAACACTAAAAGCATGGGATTACAATGTGACAGTGTAGTGGGCACCAGGGCTACTATGTGTAAAAATTCTCTGGCGAAATTCTAAAATGCAGTGAACCTATTTTGTATTAAATATCACTGTATACCTTATAATTGCATATCAGCACATCTACTTGTTGCATTCAAAAATGTATCTGAGTTATGCAGTGAAACAAATTAATATCCTTAACTGTCATTTTAAGCTGAATTCTGAATGTTTCAGCAAGGGACACTATAAAGGGCAATACAGAGGCTGGACAAGAGAGATATAATGTACTTTTTGACTACTCTCTGATGAATACTCCTGTTTCAGACACACTAAGCTAATTCTCAATGTTGAATTTTGCCATATTATTTTGGATGCAGCCATATTCTTCATCCACCCTCTCAGAGCGATTCTGCTACCACACAGCCCACCTTCTCATTTAATTTAGGTTCTTTTTAGTAAAGCAGCACACAGTCTTCATTTGTCAGCATATTTGTTGTGACTTTTGATCTGCTTTACAGGCAAAGTTTTGTACTTTGTTGCCCTGTTTGTAGCCACCACAATAACTTATGAATGCATGTTGAGTGTGCACAACAAATTAGCTGGGCAATGTCAGGAAAGTAAACATGCCAAACTGACTGAACTCTGTTTAACAATACACATTAAAGTTGAGTCATTTTCTTTTAGGGGGGAGCCCGTGCTGTACAGATGGCAGTTCAGGCTCACATTATCAAATACCTGCTCTTCACACGGCCAGTAGACTCAGAGTGCTGCACGATGGAAAGGTGATCATTGAAAATATCACAAATGTGCAGTGAAACAAATGAATAACCTTAATCACTGTTATCTTCTGCTCTGTCACTCAGTTTGGGGGAGGTGGGGGAGAAGGAGCAGGAGAGGGCATTGGCCACTGCTTTGGCTGACATTTTGTGGACAGCTGGTGAGGAGCGTACTGCCACCGTCTCCTTGGTTACACCTGAGCGCTGTTTTACCCCCCACCTGGACTACAAACTGGACAACTTCACAGAGAAGGTACTGTTTACCATGCAGTGTCCAATATCACATCTCTCAAACAACATATGGTCTGTAAGTCACATAAAACCAAACCATGTTGTGAGTGAGTTGTACTGTAAATGAGTTGCATAGATGTAAATTCATTTGCATAGGTAATTTCAGTTGCAACTTTTTACCTTCAAAAAGAAGGAAGATACAAGGAAATTCATTTATGAACATATTCAGTGTGTGAGTATTTATTAGTGCTGTGTTTTGGATTTTGTAGTTTTGCTCATTCCATTTTTTTTTTTTGCAATATAACTTTACACGTTCAGTAGTTCAGTACTTTACTTGTTTGCTGTCAATATTAATTAATAAATATACCTTATTTCCCATCAAGTTCAATGAGGAAGGAAGCCATGGGGTCATTCTCTTTCTGTATAGCTTGATCTTCTCCAGGTCCATCGTTAGGTAAGTCCATAGTTTAACTGTTTATTCAGGAAATAAATGAGCGGTTTACCCAGCTGCCATTTAAATCTACACTGAGAAAGTAATACCTGAAAACACCAAAGAACAGGGGTATCTGACCTGTAACTCTTAACATGCAAGTGATAATTACATATTTCCAACATCAGCCACATGCTTCGCCCCAGCGTCTACAAATGCATAGGCCTACATTTGATTGGCTTTTAGCAGTAGTGTTGAGAATGACTGCATTCGTGCACATTGTGTATGAAAGCTAAATGAACATGTAGCATAACTTGCTCAAGTTAAGCCGGCTTAGTTTGTATTTCGTCTAGTGTAGCGTAATGTAATACACAATATGGTTCAAAAGGTGAATGTTAGTAGCAGGTCATGGAGAGTATTAATAAGTGTAGTAAAACACAAGAAACTTATAAGCTTGTTCAGCATATCATTGCTGTCCAAAGAAATTATTAACACATTATCAACTGTTAGCATAAGTTAATGTAAAGAGTTTTTATTCCAGTTCCATTTCTGTTGGTCTGTTTGTCATGAAATTTTCACACAGTGTAAAGGACAGCTGCTGTGTTCTAATGATGTAGAAAAATAATAACAAAAATGGAGATACATGTTTTCTTTTGGATAGCAACAATATGTTACTTAAATCAGTCCCCCTAATTATGCTTTAAGGTTACAAGAAGACCTGGATTTCACCACTACTCATCTCTTACACTTGGGTTTGGGCAACTTTGGTTGTCGCCAGGTAGGTGTCTATGGGGAAAAGTGACTATATAAGTACAGCACATGGTACATGTGTGTTATATTTAGATATACTGCATTTTTCATAAAAACAACTTGTAGTTTTATTTCAAAATATACCAATCAGAGCATGTGAGTGGAGTGAAGCGGCGGACATTTCCGCTTATCGCTCAGAGCATTTCTGTGATCACTCTGCTCCAGCTCCGCTCTAATTTTTCTATTTCCCGCACCTCACTCGCTCCTCGCTCTCATGTCAGAGGAACCTTGCTCCATGTCCTTTCCATATGATCCATTCTTATGGTATTTATTTTATGTCTTGAATGTATGGACAAGACACTGCACACTTTGTTTCATGAGTTATGAATAATCATGAATAATTTATGACCGTTATGAAGCGAAAACTAGTTAAACGTTCTGTGCTACTCAGGCTTTTTTGGAGGTTGAAGCAACAGCCCAATCACAAGCTAGAAGACTGCCGAGAATAAACAAATGCACATGCTTTTAACACGACCCTCACTGTCATTCGTGCAGAAAAACGTATGACACTAGACTAACTGTGTGTAATGTCTGTAGAACTTTGTTGTGATCGATGAATTTCCAATATGTAGGTCTGCTGAACAGCTCTGCAGCGCAGAAACTGTGTTTGAATGGCTTCGTGTACAAGCTGTAGAGTCTCTGCTGCATCACTCATCATACAGTCAGTGTGGATAAAGGGACTGCCTGGCTTGATGGAGCAGGAGGGAGCTATACTGGAGCGATTTTATAGCGCAAGAGTACACCAATTCTCCGAATTTCTACAAACCCGCTCCATGCTAAAATCATGTCTCCCCACTCCCACTCCGCACCGCTCACATGCTCTGATACCAGTATGACCTAATTGCAGGCTTGCAGGATTTAGTAGTAGTTTCTTTATTATGTGTGTTTTCCCCCTTCCATCATGTCAGTGTCATTGCAACTGTGTTCATTAGGCTCTTTTGAACCTTCTGTTGACTGGTCGTGCCAGTCCTAATGTCTTCAATGGGACGTTGTTATATGATGAAGATGGCAGCCCATTAGCACAACCTCTTCATGGAGTTTTGGCCCGCAGTGACGTGGGATACCTGCACTGGAGCCGAGAGCAGGCAGAACATGCAAAGCTTCCTACGGTATAGCACATAGCCATGCTGTCAGCATAGTCCATACAGTCAGCATTTGTATCAGATAAGATTTGCAGGGTTCCATGATCAGAAACAGTAATTCTGCTTATCTGCTACTCTGCTGCTTCAGGTAGGAAGTATGCTAAAGACCCCCAAACTGCCGATTTGGGTTTGCAACATCAATGGCACCTACAGCGTTCTGTTTAGTCCCACCCGATCTCTGCTCTCTGATTGGAAAATGGAGCATCTCTTCCACCTCTACTTTTACAATGGCCAACCAACTCAATGCAGTACTGCAATGCTCACAATAGGTAATGTTACTGTACCTGTTACACACTTTTATTATTAGCATAGCTTGGTCTTTTGAGCAGCGCCTGATGCAAACCTGCAGAGCTAAAACCGGATCGCGTTTTACATTGTTGGATCAAATGTCTAGATTCTAGATTTAGTTGGAGTAGATTGGTCAGCAGAAATTCAGTGAATTTGACCACAAGGTAGTAAAAAGGACTTGATTTTACTCTTTGATTTCTAAATGTCATGTTTCAGACACACACTCCCACCACTGGGAGGCTGGAAGTGGAGACAATCAAGGAGATCTAGAAAGGAGGTTCCCCTCACTGGAGATGACCATCAGGACCAAATGGGAGGGAGCTGCAATTGACTGGAATGGCACAGTACCATATTTCTGAAGAGGTTTGAACAATTCAAAGATTTGTGATAGCATGACTTTAATCTCAAAATGGTATGTTTTTAAACTATAGTAAAATCTACATTTGTATTTTATAACATACAAATAGAAAAAAACATGTTTGATATTAAGTTCTTAGCATTGTTCTTTCTCCAGGAGTTACACTGATGTTAAAATTCATGAGCTGGATCTGAAGTAAGCCTGATTTTTTTATGTATGTATACAGTTTAGAAGCAGTCATGATGTATTTCTGCCATACTTATTTTTTTTTGTTTACATTTGTATACATGCCCTGAAATATCAAAGGAAAAATTTCATCAGGATTGTGTTGACTGATAAATGTATGGAGCCTACCAAAGACTTTTTTTTCTTAATTTGCAGTCTTTTTCTTAAGATGGATATAATAATATAATTTAATAAGTAAGGATATATCTTGACTTATGACAGCTAAAGTTTGTATATTATCTGAACACTAAAAAAATCCTTCCACTATATATGGAATAGAAGACATTTGTGTCGTTCAGCTTATTACTTACTTTTACATTCAAACAAAGGTGTTTTCCTCATTCAAAAAACAAATAACAGTTAACTCAACTGGCCAAAACAGTTTGCCAAGCAAAATACCAATAGCTTGTGGAGACTAAAGATGTTATCTAAAGTTAACTACACATCATAATTGATGCAATTTTTCTTCAAAACAGCGATGTATTCTGGATTAATTTTTGTGTCATTTTTAAAGTTATGTATTCCTGCCCACAGTGGATGGCCTTCTTTGTTGTTCTTGGTGCATATAGATCATATTTTCCTGACCAAGAATTGCATTACCGTTTTAGTCATCGAATTAAAACCATACCTTATCTTGGTCATTATATCAAATGATATTTGTCTCTCGTAAGAAAGAAGTGCTGGCTAACACTCATCACAGGTTTACTGTACTGCAAATGAATTTTTATAAACAAAAACGACAGTAAATTTGCATAACTATAGTTTATTGTAATTATCAGTATCCAAAGGCTAACTTGACATCGAGAGATATACACATTTATTACAGCTTTATAGAACATTATAGAAAAGGCTAGTCATAGAAAAAATAAGGCAAAATAAACAGATTTATAAATACAATATTAGCAAGAGGTCCTTTCAAACCAAGTTCAAGACCATTTTAACAATTAACTGAGCACAGGCCAATTAATTCTGTAAAATGTTAAAGTCTGAATGTGAGATAAAAGGTTTAACGTAATGTTAGGCTATATCATCAATCTAGATATGAATCTGTATTTCACTAAATAAGTCTTTTTGTCTTTTTTTTAATATTTGAAAGTGAACAAATGTATATTAAAGTTGACTTTGATATCAGCCCAGAGAAAATCCTGGTGCAATTTTGGCACTTCCCAATAGGGCTTTAACACATACTAATTTAGACTTGCACAAAGGTCTTATAGTATGGGAAATTATCACAGACAGTACAGTGCTGAGCAAAAGGTCAGCCCTTCATTTATTTAATTTCCAGTCAAAACATTTTTTTTTCCTCATTTATTTTCATTTGACTACCCCCTTTCGTCATGCAAGTGGATTATCTTATATCTAATCTCCCTAGATATAGCTCCTGGAAAAGTAATAACTTGTACTTAATAGCTGTTTTCACTGGAATATTAAATAAACAAAGTCCTAGTCTATTTCTTTCACACAGTACTGTAGCTTACCAGTACACCATCATATTGTATGCTTGCTGTGAGACCTATGTCTCATAAATCAGTGATCGCAAATCTTTTTCCAATGCCTGGCACCTCTCTTCCGATGAAGTTTACACATTCAAAATGTACAGTAAGTATGTCACAAGGATGGAGCCCTAAAAGCAACAGAGCAAGTAGCCAGCTTGCTGCATTGTGCCACACTACAGCAATGCTGACGATCACAAAGAGGATATGATACAAAATGGCTGATTTGTCACCTTTGTATAGCTCCCCATCCTCTAGTATTGACAGGACTCTACAGTGCTCATTGAATTGCAAGGGTTTACAAAGTGTAGCTACATAACATACTATCAAGACCATAAATACTGTGACAGTAGAACTAGATAACATGATAAAAGCTAAGTCTAAGGATAATGACACCTGTAATACATCAGTTGTCCACATAAATACAAATACGGCAGAATAATAGGATAGTTAACCAGAATAATAGCTTTATGAAATCTCATATTTACAAAGTCAGTCCCTTACTTCAGGCTTTTCAAAAAACCTCATTTACTAAACGTCATAGTGAAATAGCAAAATAGTGACGTCAGTTTTCTCACCTGTGCTACTAAGTCTGCTCATGAGTGACCACCCAGAATCTCTTCTAGGTTAATGTCTTTCATCCAGTCATCATTGCCTGAACCCGACTTGAGCAAAGAATCAATGAAGTCTGAGTCTGCATTGATCCCTGGTACCGTGTTATCCCCATCCTGCAGGAAATCAAACGTCAGCCGGCCTACCCGGCTGTTCTGGTAAGTTCCTGGGCTTTGCGCCGTGCTTATGAACGTGCTTATGCACCCCTGCTGTTCTGGAGAGGACTGGTTCAGGCTGCTAACCCCAGGAAGCGGGGTTATGTGTGGCTGGGTAGGTCTGGGTGCAGAGCCCCTAATGGCAGGGTTTAAGGTGATTAGTCCAGAATGAGGTGCCACCTGATTTGGTGGACCAATAGGCCTTGTTGGGAAGTGACCATCAGTTTGTCTCTTTACATCTAGTCCTTGAAGTCCGCCATTTTGTTTTGTAGCACTTACCCAACTCAAGCCAGTCTCCCTACTTGCGGTTGTGGTCAGTCCAACCAGTCCTTGGCCAAGGATAGCGTCTTGGCTTGCTGAACTGGTCCTTACGTGTTGCGTAGTTGGGACAACACCTGATGGAAAAGTAACAACCTGGGTGTTCGCTCCCTGGAACTGTGGTTTGTTCTGATGCATTCCAATTTGGACCTGGTTGTTAGCTTGCTGGTGCAGTTGGCTTGCACATGTTTGGACTTCTGCAGGGTCTGATCTAGTATGGAACCTTCTGTCTCCAGAATTGGGCACCATTTTCGCTCCTTGGCCGTTGGGTAAATGGCATGAGAGGGACGGAATGTCACTCTGATCAGAGCCGTTATTGGTCAGTGGAGAAGATGCCAGACCTGCACATAGAAGAGTGTGATTTTGAAATGGTCACTGAAAATCTTAAATCAGCTAAAAATCTTACAAGCAATATATGTGAATTTATAGATAATAGATATTCTTTTCCAATTCCATGGATCTGTGAAACATTTCTGCATAGTACAGTTATTAAGAGGTAAACACAGAGTGGTTGAATGAGAAACTGAGATTTTGTTACAGTGGTGTTAACAGGAACCATACACCAGATGTCTACAACACAAATAAAGCCATTTTATTTACCATCAAAAAATGACCAATGAATCTAAAATGTTCATATCAGTGCTGTCAAGAAAACAAACAAAAAACATGCATCTCAATTTTTTTCTGCGTCACTTGAACAGCTGTCCTTTACATTGTGAGAAAAAATCATGAGGAATGGACCAATAGAAATGCTCCAAAATTACTTGCAATAAAATCTATTTACATTAACTTACATTCAAAGTTATTTATGCCTTCTCCTCTAACGTTACTATTTTGTAGATGCATGTTTTATAATCTATGTAATGCTGATTATGGTGAAATGGTGATAAATCTGAATGGGTTGTCTTTTCTTTCTCTGCTTGTACCTCGCTGCAAAAAAAAAAAAGACTTGAAAAAGGCAGGCTTGAAAATATTCATCTGTAAATCAAACATGTACAAAATTGAAGATAACTGGATATTTTGCGTTATTGGTTATTATCTATTAGTTAGGTTTTAAAGTCACTGTATAGACAAAGGTAAAATCAGATCTTTACCTGGATAAAGGGTTGAATGTACTCCAGCTACACCTTGTGGTTGTTTGTAGTCAGGTGGAGGCCTTGTCAAATGCCGGTTAAACTGATCTTGTGTGCTGAATTTCTCCTGAAACAAAAAATGGAAGAGAAAATTAACAGTTGGAGTACAACATAAAGTTCACTACGTCCCGGTTTTAAACCCCTAATCTAAAAATCTAACCAACTTATTGATCTTTTAAAAACAGCATTCATTTTTGGTATAGCAAATCTGTGCCATCTTATAAGTGGTACCAAAAAGGTTGTATTTATTTTTGTGCTGCTGTGCTGGTTAGTTTGCTGGAGTTATTTACTGTATCGTTGGTGTGGTGCTGAGGTTGGCTCAGTTGTCTCTGGCTTTTGCCTGTATTTTTCTGCTGAGTGTTGGGAGCAGGTGGCCGCTGCTGTTGGGGTTGCCCAATACCAGCCAGACAACCATTTGCTGATAAACGTGGTCCTGGTGCCATTGCCTGTTGGACAGAAGAACATTAGAATTACTTTAGAATACACAGTAATATACAGTCATATTAAACTAAAAATAGTTAAATTTAAATGAACAATCTACAGTATCTTCTTTATGGTATAGGATGATTTCTTAACAACATAAGTGGACACTGTGATTGTATAGGGAGTCCACTAGATGGCAAACTTCATCAATTCTTCCGACATGTCAGACTGCTCATGTCCGTATGACTTGATGTGAATGGTGTCATAAAATTTTCACATACTTTAATATTACTCCTTTATTTTCGTAATGTCTTTATAACACGAATCATCAACAAGTTATCACAAATTAAGAATGCAAACTACCACTAACAACTACTAACAACTAGAGGTGTCTATGGTAGGAATCCAGAGCAACTAAATACATATAGACATTAGCATGTATGCAATTTCTGCAGACTTACATTATATTGTTTTAAGTATTTTGCCAAATTGGCTCTGAATACAACAATAGCTGCCAGTGAGATCCTCATTTTTTCATGCTGTAACAGGGTAGGGATTACTGTAAGACTGATAGCTATGTTGAAGCCCTGTAGCATTTCTCCTGTCATCCAGCTCCTATGGGGCACAACCCAATTGCTTCCAGCAAATGACAGACATTCTCAGCCACAGTGTGGAACCACACAATGATAGGTGGATCTTAAAGGCTTTTGTGCCTTTTTATCTTTCTGAAACAAACTCTTAATGCAGACAATGAAATATGTCAAGTTAATACAAGTGGTTCCTTTGCACAAGTATAACCTATTGCCTGATTCATGCTTGTTCAAGAACTGTACTTAAAATCATTCCATTCATTCATGAACTAATAATTCATTACACAGATGGTTTAGAGTCAAGATGACAACCTGAAAGGAGCTCTTTATTTCAGCAAAGGCTAAGAAAGGCTTTTCTTTGCTTGATGTAAGTATAGAGAAACCATTTACTATAGTCATAAATTGCAGAAATTGGTCCCCTTTGCTATTTAGGTGTCTAAGATTTTCTATTTTCTCTTCACCAGTTACTGATATTGCCCCCTGAACCTGCTCTGAATACCAATACTGCCAACTGCAGCTGGATCCCCTATTGCCTCCTGCCTTATACAGATCAGCACACAAGCACTTTTCAGAACAGCATCAGTTTCTCTTTCAGAACATCACCCCAGCCTAGTAATCCTTTACTTTAATGCAACTGAAGTTTCATTAAAAAAAAAAAAGTGGCCCACATCAGTGATAACTGTAGTGAGATAGAAGTCTCTTAGAGGTCCTGGAAAGGTGGTGAAGACCTGTTTATAGTTTTGTTTGGGTGTCTAGACAAAAGAAGAAACAGTCACTCGTAATTTTTACTCATACAATCAAACTGAACATATGTGATTCAGAATAACTGAGTACTACAAAGAGACTTTTTTACACAATTATAATAACCACACTGAGTAAAAAGATGCAGTACAATTTGTTTTGAGGTTCCATAATCCTCTCTGGCCTATACACTTTTGGCATCATGTACTAGTAGTCTTTCAGTCTGCAAAGACTCACCAGCGAATTATTCTTTATTGTGACCCTCACTGGCCATTTTATCAGCTCCACTTACTTACCATATCTTTTCTCTCTGCATAATTTGTTAGTCTTTCTGTACCCCATTTATCAGTGTAAGACCACCACAGAGCAGGTGTTATTTGCATGGTTGATCATTCTCCACATTGCAGTGACACTGACAGTGGATACAGCAGTGTTTCTGGATTTTTAAACACCTCAGTGCCACTGCTGGACTGAGAATAGTCCACCACAACAGTGTCCTATGAGCAGAGAGTGAGCACTGATGAAGGGTCAGAGCATAACTAACACAAACTGCGCAGCAACAGATCAGCTGTCGTCTCTGACTTTACATCTACAAGGTGGACCAAAAAGGTAAATGTGTATAAAAGAGTGGACAGTAAGTGGACACAGTGTTTAAAAACTCCAGTAGCACTGTTGTGTCTAATCCCCTTACATTCGTGCAACATTAGCACTCATTAACATGCCACTACCATGGCAGTGTCACTGCAGTGCTAAGAATAATCCACTATCTAAATAATACTTGCTCAGGGGTGGTCCTGTGGGGGTCTTGACCACTGATGAAGTGGGTAAAGAAAAGCTAACAGATCATGCAGAGAAACAGATTACAATCTGTAAGTGCACATACAGTACTATGCAAAAGAGCACTCTCAATGCAAAACAGGCATTAAGCACAAGTTAGTCATTTTTCAGGAGATATTTCTAAAGAGATTATAAGATCTACTTTTCAAGACTGGACTTAAGATTTGAAAAAATCCACAGGTGTTTCCATCTATCCTTCCGCTGTGACAAGACAACTCAACACTATCAGTCTGAAAGGATGTGTAGCTTTCAATAAGCGATTACTGAGAAAAGGAAAATTCTCAAATCAAACAAAGAGGCTCAGAACAATGGGTTGACCACCTCAGAGTCCTGACCTTAACATTACCAAATGTGTTTGAGATTACTTGGATCATTAGAAGCAAAAAATGCAACCAACTTCTAGGACTGAACTATGGAGGTGTGGAAAAATATCCCTGCAGATTACTTTGAAAAAAACTGAAAGCAAGTCTCCTGAAAAGAATGTACATTGTAATAAAGGCAAAGGGTGAGCACACTAAACACTGAAAAAATTGGTATTATAGTTTTACACAGTAGTGTATGGTAAGTGGACCTGCTAAAATAGACAATGAATGCAGATAAAAGGTAGGTGTACCTAATAAAGTACAAGTCAATCCATATGTGTGATGTCCTAGCACTAAAATTCCACTCAGGTCTCCTCATTACAACCATGCAAAGAAGTGTAAGTGTCTGAGAGGTGAGACTCAAGCAAGAGCTTTTGAAAATCTGTAGGCCTTTCCCTGAGCAAACTCTGTTCAAGTACGTTATCCCATTCAGTCAAACACACATTGTGTATATACTGTCAATCACTGTGTTGACACAAAACATTTCCCAGGGCAAAATGGATTCAACTGCAGCGCAGCGAAGGGCCATTACTGTGAGAACAGATGTCTAAATGAGAAACTGCTTCCAAAGCCCCACTCTGGAGGTCCCAGAACGAAAGCACTGAAAGGCCCTCCTCTGCCACGGGAGGAATTCCCCGCTTTGACAGACCATGATGAGGGAAGAGGGTGTGTGAGAGAGTGCTTTGCAGCGATAGGCACTATTCACAAGCAACACTATCTACAGAGACGCAGACGGCTCCATAGAGGAGCTGAGCTGAGGAACTAGCTGAGGTCACATGCTGAGATGGATCAGCTCTGGGAAGTCCAGTAATTAATTAGAGGGCAAGTAAAGAGTGCTGTCTCCCTGCTGCGAGTTCAGATTAACTTCTCATAGAACATGCAGATAGAGTTTTTTATTACAGAAACTTGCAGTGAAATATTACTACAGTATATTTTGTAGGTCATCTGTTTAATACCAGTATATTAGTATAACAGTGGAGCACAGTGGAGTCAAAGTCTGAGAGCACTAGTGAAATTCTCCTAATTCAACATTTTTGGTACAAATTGTATTGTCAGCATAACAATTATTATTATTAATGATAATAATGATAATAATAATAATCTGACCTTTTTGTACAAAGGCCTTAATAGGTCAATTTCATTAATTTGCCTAAATTTGAACAGTGACCAAAAAATATCACAGTTCTTTTTTCACTTGTACAGTATAGTGGAGTCCAAATTTCTAACTCCTAAAACTTTCTGTTGTTTATTTTCATGTTTACATGAAAAAAATTAGCAATTTTTTAATGTGGTCTCAGACTTTTGGACCCCACTGTATCTACATGATCAACTGTAAAAAGAAAGTGATGAGGTTGTTTAAAATATAATATGGATTAGGTCACCAAATACTTGAGATTTTTCTAGAAAAAAACATCTGCTCTTACAGATTATATTTCTAGAAAGTATTTGGTGACCTAATCTATAACACATTCTAAACCACTTCATCAAATCCCAGCTTTTAATGTGGTCTCAGACTTTTGGACCCCACTGTATCTACATGATTGACTGTAAAAGAATGCGATGAGGTTGTTTATAATATGATATGGATTAGGTCACCAAATACGTGAGATTTTTCTGTGCTATATTTCTAGAAAGTATTTGGTGAGCTAATCCATAAAATATTCTAAACAACATCATATGTTGCATAATGCTCAGGCCACACAGCTCTGGAACTGGTTATTTTCTGACTCATCGATATACATTAAGCAAATAAAAGGTCATACACTGCTTTGTATTACACCATGTTAAAGGCACTGTGAGAAACCATGACCCTAGTCAGAAGGTTTGGCCAGAAGGTGTTTATGTTACACTGGAATAGGCTTCCATGGCAAGTATATTTGTGGTATGGGGGAGTGAGAAGGAGTGCGAGTTCCGTTAATCCACTCTTTTGTCATCCTGATGTGTCATAAAGCTGTTTTCCATCTCTGCTCCACTCTTCGCTCTTCAGCGTGTCGTTAAATGAATACCACATGTGGCCGTGGACTCCATAAAACAGGGCTGTGATTTAGGCTTCCATTCTGCCCCGCATTACAAGCAGCTGACAGGGCTCCAGGCCCAAGCCTTGCTGCTCTCTCTCTCTCTCACAATACTTCCTGCAGTTTGGAGGCAGGGCTGCCCTCCCCAGGGAAAAGCTCGGCATCTGGACTTGGCCCCGGATCGCTTTCCCAGGAAACAAGCCCTCGCCTCGCTGTGCAACTCCAACAACCTGGCACCCCCCCCACCCATTCTCACTGAGATGAGAATCCAGAAGGGTGAGGGTGAAAATGAAGGGGAAAACTACAAAATGACAAAGCTGTGAACTGTGATAGTCTGGCCTGTAAACTGAAAATAAACTTGAAAGGATTTAAGCTTTGACTGTTCCTAAAGCAAACAAAAGAAATATAAATTTTGCACTAAAGATGTACTAAGACTGTCACAATTCTCACAAATACTCAGTAAAGCTTGATTACTTGC